ATTTACAATGAACATTTTTAACCCTTTCTTGATCAAGGACCACCAAATAATGTCGACAAAAAATAACTTTTAATTCAAATAGCAAGCACATGCAACTGACATTGTGGTCATCACGATTAAAACTTACATTGTACAGGTTTTCTTTACAATCTGCACCGTAAATAAATTCTTCCATAACATCATAAAACTAAGCAGATCCAAGGCAAGACACATGCACAACACTACAATTCATTTTTCCTCTAAATTCAGCTTGAAGTTCTGCAATGCGTGTACTTCGACTGAAATTGTCTCTCTATCATAGACTGTAATCCACACTTAATAATTGTATTCATCGATGCAAAATCAGCTTCATATTCCTTCTCAGCCTTGTCTTGTAAGACATTTTCATACTGCTTAACAAATTGTTGAAGAGATGTTATTGAGTTGATATATCTATCAAAAAATGCATTCATACTTTCACTTCGTTGTGTAGTTGACATCCCAACCCAAAATTGGTTTTTTAAAAAGCATGACACCCATCTTTGTTTCTCTTCAAAAAGGTTATTCAACCACTCATTGTGTTTTAATCTAAAATTGGATATGAAGTTAGCCCATTTGGAGGTGAATTCACTTACAGATGAAGACTCATAAACAACCTCCTTCATAGCAGACTTCATATGTTTGTATTTTGTATAACCTTTCAACTTTTCTAGAATTTTTTATTATATGTCATAGACATCACCTATGATGGGTTTTAGGAAAGACTATGTGAATGACATTTTGCATTGCCTTGCACTAGTCAGTGATAATACCCGTAAGGGCCTTGAATGACATGTAACGTAGTCATGATTCAAATAACCATATAAAAGTAGTGTCTTCACTTGATAACAACTCACACCTTAATAAGATGAAGTGACCATGATAATTTAACCCACAAATGGTGTGAAAGGCATGTCATATTTATTGGTCAAGTATGTCATATCAAATGAAACAACATTGTCAAAATATTGACAAGCAGCCATACTTCTTGCATCAACCCAAAAAATATTTTTTACACGATTATCATGATCTAAGTCTATATCAAAATAGAAATCTTTGTTTAATTTCCTCATTTGTGAAAAATAATTTAATATAACTTTTTCATCATTTTCCTTTCCTAATGCACGTCTTTGTTTACCAACATAGTTTCGTACATCTCGTTCAACAAATTAGAGATTTTCATAACCTCCTACACTACTAATAAATGACCGAAAACTTTTATTGTTCCTGACACCTGCATCATCATTTATTTATAAAGCCCTCTTCACATGCAAACTAATGTTCTTATTGCTACGAAACATTCTTGATTTCGTTGGGCTAAGAGAATGTGAATGTTCATCATTTATGGACATAATATACCATAGACCTTCCTTTAATCCAACTGTTATCCGTGCATGACATGAATTTGTTTTAGTAGGTTGGGTTCTAATTTCACTAGGTATAGGAAGAAACATACTTACCAATCCTTGCACATACCAACATGAAGTACCACAATTAGTTATCAGACCCCTTTTTTGAATTCATAGTTTTGATGCCAAAACCTTTTTCTATGGCATATTGTCGATAAAATAATTTAACTGCAACTATAGTTCAAAGCATATTCCTACACATGGAACAGAACCGTCATATTGTTTTTTAGTCCTCACATATGCATCAGGATATCCTTCATCATGCAGAACCAATATTTCTTCATTTACACTTGGGACAAAACCATCACACTGTTATATCTGCATTACTAGGTACGTCATCATGTACACCCAACATTTCTTCATCTACACTTCAGAGAACACCAAGACATTGTTGTATATTTGTTATATTCACATTACTAGGTACGTCATGATGTACACCCAAAATATCTTTATTGACACATACATGTCTGTTTTCAGTGATATCTCCCATGGTAGATGAGCGATGAAGGATATAATTCCTATTATTGAGAAGAAAATAATACTAAGGTATATAAGTTGAAAACAGTAACACCAACACAAAAATTATAAATGGTGTGTTAAAACATAAGTTAATATAACAACCAATAGCAGATGAGTTCTTCCTACCAAGCAATGCAAAAGTGAGGAAGTACATTTTTTTTGTTGCACCGGCGTCATAGTAATCCACTAGAAAAATCTTCAGTCTGGGTTTGCTCAAGTACACAAAGGCTAGGTTATGTTTTTACCTCTTTAGGGATAACTAAATGAGTGGTTGATATTGATTGCATTTTTAAAACTTAAATAAGGGTATTTTTGTAAATAATTCATTTATTACATACATATGCGTCTTCGTAAGACATACATGTGAATGTCCACAAGCGAAAAAATTCCTGCAGAGAGCAACATCTTCAGATTTACAAGGAACACGACGGAAAGAAAAAGGAAAAGGTATGTCAAAGCCATTTATATACTCATATTTGTATATATATGTTTGTGATTGTATACTGTACTTTGCTTTATGTACTTGGGTTTAGGGTTTACGGTTGAATATGTGTTTAGATATACTAATATTTTACGTGTGGTTAAATCTGAAATCTTTTGTGTAAGTAAGTTATCAATGGAACCATGGGAAAGACTAGACACTGATACCACAAACCTTGTTGCGTTTGTGCGTGTTTACAACTATAAATCACCATAATTCCAGTTCTTGCTACCTTTGTTCAAGCTGTTATGAATAATCGCATTTCTGATGACCACATACCTATTCAAGAATTTGTACGACGTAAAGCTGAAGAAAGTGATGATGTTGATTTTAATAGCAATCCATGACAATGAGTTCTTCTATTCATAAGAGTTCATGGTGAAATTTTGCAACTTAATCTTTTCATTTAAAGGATGCAGTTTAATATATTAACTGACTTTATTTTTTTACATATGAACATAATAACATATATGGAACAAATTTAAGCAAAGCGTAGTAATAGAGCTTCATTGATCACATACATTATTAAATCTTGTAAGTCTAACAGGTTAGTAGACATGACCTTTATAATTAAGGTAATGTAATGTTTACATATGTAAATTATTACATTTATATATATGTTGTTAATGTTAACATTCAATTCAATTGGGTATGACTATTTTGTGTAAGACCCTACAACAATTGTTAAGGTTAATGTTTATAAAAAAATCATAACTAATGCTAAAATAGGAAAGAACATAATATATGGTTTAGTTTTAGTTTTAAGAAATGTACATATTTATAGGTATAAGATTTATCAATAAGAGTCTCATACATAGTTCAATGAAAATGTTATATGAATATAACATTATATAATATTGTCAAGGTATTGGAACTTCATATACTATTGTCATATTATAATTATTATGTCTTTTAAATAAACTTACATGTTACTAAGTCTTTTCAAGTAATATTGGATGTCCAAATGAAAAGCTAGTACGTCATACTCAACCAATAATATATCATTTCCCGATAAGAAGTATGTACATATTTTTTATATAATTCTCTATTTATATGATCCAAAATTTGATTGAAATTATTATATTAATTTTGATATTTTTTATTTTTCAATCTACTTCTACTTCAAAGATTTGACCAAATATTCAATAATAAAAAATAATAAATCAAACAAATATAAAATTTTAATATTCAATGACAATGCATAATTTTTATTTAATTAGTATGACATTTGATACTTATAATGTAAACAAATTCAAATGCTCTTAACTAAAATATATTGTTGAATATCACTCAAGTCATATATATATATATATGCAAATAGATGTGAAAATAATAACTGTTTATAAAATATTGTTATTAACAAATAAGATTAATATTATTTCAACCCAACATCTAATAAATCCAGTATTATGCAACTAAATAAAAAATTACAACATGATTCATGAAGCTAACTAACTGTATAGTCGTGAATTCAAATTATAAGTTCAATTTCTTCAATTTTCACCACATCCTCCATAATCGTTTATATTTTCATAATCATTATTATTTTCTGAAAAAGTGTTTGTATCTTCTTCTCATACTTAAACTACACCTCCTTGTCTTTGTGAAAAAATAGAATTGTCCCCAAACCATTGGACAAATACACCAAACTCATCTAATATAGGTCAAAGTACCAAACTATAATTGCTTACAAAATATTTATGCAAACTTTCGTTCTGACTAACTTGATCCCTATGAATGTCAACTTGTTGACTTTCAACATGTGTCATGTGATGCTCTAATAGTTGCATGTATTCAGTTAACTCAAATTATGATTGTAGGATTGAGAGGAGGAGGCTTCCCTTCGTTCACTTGTTCAATGTAATTGGGGGTGGGATATTTGTACTTCCTGCTCAAGGCAATTTAGACAATATTTATCATTGAATTTTCTATCAATTAGTGAAAATTTATAACCTAATTTTAACTAAGAGATCGATATCTACCCCATTATTCAATCCCTCTTCCGCTTTCCTGCATGACAAATTGGTAGATCTCTTTAGAAATTAAGTCTGCCACATCAAGCGAATAGTCATTTAAAATGCAAAAATTCATGTGACATCTCACCATATTAAGATTAGTCATGTGTGTGAGGGGTACAATATAAGTTAACAAAAAAGAAATTCAGATTTGTGTGATTGTGCTTATTTTTTCACAAGATTATCAGTGGTTTACTAGCATGATTTGTCTCGTAGATCCTCCCTAGGATACATAAATGTCAAATTACTTCATCATTGTCGAATTTTCTTTATGTTAAACCCCTGGCTCTGCGGATCCTTCCATATATACATAGTTCATAATTCACCTTCTTGAGGCTCCCAAGAAATTCATTTATTGTGTCCCGGTCATAGGATATCCACTTTCCCCTCACCTTGGACCTTTTTTTCGTGACGCCCTTCTTCAAAAAATCAAGCGTTGGCATAAAATTCTTTCACTACATCAACATCGAACTTCAACCATGGTTCTGCAAGCTTCATCTAATTTCGTCGTGTAATCTCATAATTGAATTCAGTATATTCATCTTCTTTGAGTTCGACTCATCGTTTAGAGTTGAAGTTCAAAGTTTGCATCATCTCATACCTCTGTTGGGTATGTTCATCTCTAAAGAGGTTACTGTTGAATGATGCAGAAGATTCACCCGATATACATCTTTCTTGGTCCCATCTACAAAACAAGCAAATGGAAGTGTGCACATTATATGATAAGCAATTGTAAAATTAATCTTACAATGACAAAATACTAAACAATTGTAATAACCTTAACTAACATTATAAGCCTATAATTTTAATAAAATAAATATTGAATAATGTCTAATAATATAAGATTACAATAAATAACAATAATCTCAACTAACATTCCAAACATACAATTTTCACGTTCAACAAGTACCAAACTATATGAACAAATGCTTCCCAAGTACATTATGATTGACAAGGAACAACAACAAATGCCAAGGAGGTACATCCATAACTTAGCTTAAAGGATCATAGTGCAAGCTAGGACCCTTACCTCCAAAAGCCCCTTGCTAGCACAATATAGACCACCAAACAGTCATTCCCAACCTTTTTTTTTAGCTAGTTCAATTCAAATTCCAACAACAATGCATTTACTCTAAAATTTCTACTAAACACCAAAAAATCATTAATCTTGTATATGGTTTCATTCTCTTATTTTCATTACTCTTTTTCCATTTTCAAACCCCCCATAATATGATCTCATCAACAAAAACTAATTCATACAAAAAGGGGATGATAGAGCAGGATTTTAAGATATCTTCAACAATATGCATTTTAGGCCACCATGACTTATCTTTGTATCTCATTTGCAAAAAATAACTAATTCCAAACCTAAAGCTAAAATTTAGATAACAAAGGTGCCTATTTTGTGTAAGAAAAATTGAACCTTCTTCATTGTACAATTTCATCAAACACCTAGTGGGCATCATTTAATATTGTATCTCAACTCAAGTAACGACACTTTCATAACAAAACATGTACATATTCAAGAGACAAAAAAGCAACATTCTTCAAAAACATAGAATGAAAAGAGTGAAGTAGCATACATACACCACACTTTCGCATGAATAGTATAAATAAAGGTTCAGCACCGATTATCTTTGTTGAAGTTATCATATTTGTTATCCATGTTCCATTATCCTTGTTGAAGTTGTTATGATATTTGTTGGTATCTTTTTCTTTTATATAGACTTCAGTTTTTATCAATTTAAAAATGTATTATTAATACAAATGTATATAAAAGTCCATAGTATGTACTGAATACAATGACGTCAATAACAATATACAGATTGCTTTCTCCATAACAACCACGGTGACAAAAAAACTCGAACTTTGCTTCACTCATCGAACTTTGCTTCACTCACCCAGATACTCTATCGAGAAAGGGCTTCCAGGGAGCAACAAGGATCAAAAGATTCATAAGAGCGGAAGAATTTCTTTCGCAGAGAGTGTGGCTGCCTTTTGCAGCTTTGATTTTCACCTGGGAAGGGTGCTCCAAAATAAAATCCTTCCACATTCACACTAACAACCCTCACCAATTTCTTAATTACAATTTTTACTCTTCAAAATTACAAATACACCCATAAATTTTTATAAAATTATATTTTAAACCCCAAATTGTCGTTTGGATGTTTAAAGATGGATGTCAACCAATCATTTTTGTAAAAACAAATGTCCAGTCTTCCCAGTCTTACTTCTTTCTTCATTACAATGATCTCATCTCAATCTTACTTCTTTCTTCATTACAATGAACTCATCTCCCTTATTTCTTCCTTACAATAATCTTAACATCACTTCCATTAGTTACAATAATCTCAAAATCACTTCTTCATTTATTTCTTCGTTACAATCATCTCAGCATCACTTCCATCATTACAATAATCTCACCAACTTCACTTCTCTTTTAGAATTCAACTTTAGAAATGGAGAAATAATTATGTCTAATATACAATCATTCATATATTTTATCCAAATCTCCTTTCTCCAAAAATTGACTTACTTTATCTAATATCACTTCCATCATTACAATCATCTCACCAACTTCACTTTCTCTTTCAATGTTCAACTGTAGAAATGAAGAGATAATTATGTCTAATATATACCCATTCATATATTTTATCCAAATCTCCTCTCTCTAAAAATTTAACTATCTAATAAGAGGAGATTTGTATTAATTAAACTAATTTTTATTTTCCAAAATCAATTGATTCTTATTTTTCATGATTTTGATTCTTAAGCAAACAATTTTAAATATAAAAGAGATAATAAAAACCCGATAGAGCTAGAATTCCACCTTATTTTTCATGATTTTGATTCTTAAGCAAACAATTTTAAATATAAAAGAGATAATAAAAACCCAATAGAGCACGAATTCTACCTTATCGAGCGCGAATTGCTGCTTTTCGAATTAAATATAACATTCAAAGATCAATATTCTTCAAAGATGCTGCAAATAAAAAAATAGAACATAAACAAAATTTTAGTTAATATTGGTTGACATATATTGAGTATATCTTAAAATGAAAATTATGACCTACATCACTCCCGTATTCAGCTCGTCCATTCAATTCAATGTAATCCCAAAAGCCACACAACATACACCATATATGTTTAATCCAATGGAGGAGGCAGGTATTCCAAAGGAAGTTAGAACTAAGACGAATTAGAAAATGAATTCTATCAAATAGGAAATCATATCATCCAAGAAGTGAATACTTTAGAAGGCACAACATATCTTCATAAAACTAAATAAAAAACATCAGCTAACTTTTTAATACAAAGGAAACTATAATTTAAATCTGAACTATATAGAATTTTACTTACTCAACAAAGTATTTAAACTGTTTGTTATTACGAATATATATATATATATATATATATATATATATATATATATATATATTCATGTGATATTTTTTCTGTTCAGCATCTTAGGAATTGAAATAAAAATGAGGTACCTATGAGTTTTAATCAAGGAAATCACAGTTGTGACTAACGGGGAAGCAGATCAACGCCATCCTTTCAGTGGTTCCCATTGATCAAATCTTCAAAAAACCTGACAGAAAGGAATTAGGTTAAAAAAACAAGAAGAAATAAGATACGATGCATGAAGAAAAGAAATTAAACTTAGGTGAAGATGCAGGAGAGAAATTTTACCAAACAGAGTCTCTGGCTACATTTCTAGGAGAGAAGGGAAGGGTTCATTTTGAGAGTAGGGTGGGTAAGGGTGAGAAGTGAAGGCATGTGATGAACTTAAAAGAGTAAAGTTGTTGACACTGTGTTATGGTGTCTAGAAATTTCTGTGTAGATTTTTTTTTTCATTTAATTTTAATGTAGATATATTTGTTTTCTTTCAAAGTTCCTTCCACGCAACTAATGTTCGATTAATTATTTTAAAAATATTTTTTAATCTGATTAATTTATATTAGGGTTGAGGAATGGGTCAGTCTGCTCCTTTTTGCCCGTCAAAAGCGAGCAGGACGAATGACTGTTATAGTCATGACGTAGCATAGACTTTGGTCAGTCCAAAGGCAGATTAGTTGATGGGTTGACCTACCATAATTTAGAAAAAAATAATTTATTTTTTAAAATAAATTTTTTAATAAATTTAATAATAAGATTATTATTTATTTCTCAATAATTCAATATATATATATATATATATATTATTTCAATTTAATAATATAAATCAATATATTATTTTAAGAAATTATAATTTAGAATAATAATAAAATTTATATAATAATAAATAATAACAATATATATAAATATATATATATATATATATAACATTAAAACTTATTAAATTTATATTTTTTATATTGAAAATTTCAAATACCTATATCTTTTTTATTTAATAAAACTTGATAATATTCTTGGTTGATTCATTCTTACACCTTTAATTCAAGTCATAAAGATAAAAATAACTAAGTACTTAGGATGAACAAGAAGAAGAACAGGAGAGAAGATTAGATTTCAATAGGGAGAATATTTGTTGTGAGAGTGAAACTTTTTTAATTCTCTTTTTAAAAATTTTAACTTTATATATTATCTTTATAATTAATTTTATTATAATAAAAAATTATTTTTTTATTAATTAGGCGGCAATGGTTGATCCGCCTCGTCCCATGAGTTAGTCAGTCAGGTTGACGTGCTTGGCAGGACGAGCTAAAGCGGCTCAGTGGACTGAAAACATCAACATGCCCTGCCATATTATGGCGTAGTTGTCGGCCGACCACTGCATCTAACCCGTTTTGTCATCCCTAATTTATACTAATTTACATTAAAAATAGGTTAAAAATATATATAATATATTTAAATGCAAATGTATTTATAAATAGGTTTTTTTTTCAAAACACGTGTTTACATTTCTTGTAAAAGTAGATTTTGTTACATACCATTATATTCTCTAAAATATTATTAAATTTTTTATTATATACTGCATATAAAAATCATAAACTTTACACCCTCACAAGTATTACACTAATGAATAATAATAATAATAATAATAATAATAATAATAATAATAATAATAATAATAATAATAATAATAATAATAATAATAATAATAATAATAATAATAATAATAATAATAATAATAATAATAATAATAATAATAATAATAATAAATTGTCATTTCTCTATCTTCGTGTAATAAAATAATTATCTATGTTTTGTTAAATAATTTGTTGTTTATATAAAATTAAAATTGTACCTAGTTATTTTTTAAAATATATTTTGTTAAGAAAAATAAACATTATTATAATATGAGACTATTATCCATAATAAAATAAAGTGTATCTAATTATTTTCTTGATATTAAATAATATATAATTACATAATTTAATTAAAAATAATCCACTTATCTTATCTTGAAATATTCTTTATCACTTTAATTATTATAATTATTTAATTTCTTTTATTTGATTAGTCATATAAACACTAAACTGATTCGAATTCATGATATTAAAAACAAAACAAAAGAAAATCATGATTTACATGTAATTAAAATGTATTCAAGTAGTTTTGTTCTAAAAACTTCACCAAATTATCTAAGTGATGACGTTTTGAATATTTGTGTTTTTTTTTTAGGAATTCAACGTTTCCTTGGTTATACCAGATTCTTTCTCTTTGTTTTGTTTTATTTATAAAATATTACATTCAGACCAATCAGCAATTTGAGTTCCACGTTCTGGTTCAGTTCTCAGTGAAACCGTTCTGACATGGAACTTGCTACTGTTTTTCAGCTTCCACTGCAACCATTATCAACGTTCTCCCTTGATTTTGGTGGAAGGTTCTGCTGCTCCTCAGCCTCAAACTCCACCACATTTCAAAGGGTCTCTCTCAAGTGCTATGCTCTTTCAACACCATCATCGCTAGGTAACTTTCTGTTGCAATGAATATGCAGTAACTTCACTTAGAATTTTCTCCAATTTAATGTTCTTACTGGGAAAGCACATGGTCGTATAAGCGGGTTTGAGTTTTGTGTTCAGTTTTTATATTTGATTGTTTAGAAAAATAAATTTCCCTGTATTTGAATTCTGGTTTAAGAGAATCAGGGTCTTATCATCTAGAGGTGATTTTAATACCTCTATTTTAAAAATGACTCTTTTAGTACTTGTACTTCTAAATTGGAGTTTGCCACTGTTTTTAGTGGTTAAAGTAAAAATTGTTCCTTTAATTCCAAACAAAGTTTAGTTTAATTCTCTAAATTCAATTCATTATTGTTACTCTTGTTATGTTAATATTATTAAATTTAAATCACATTATTTTTTGGATTTTAGACTAAAATAAAGAGTGAATTTTTCTTTCAGAATTTTTTAAAATTTTGTTACTTTTATGAAAGTGCCTCACTTTCAAAGACCAAATTGGATGTTCTCACCTTTTTAATTGCGGTGGTGACTTATCCTCTATTTCATTTTATCTGAGTCGAGGGATGAGATCAGTCATATTTCCATAGACTAAAATCATCACTTTTAAAACATAGAGATTAAAAGCACTTTTGGTCAAACATTGAAGAACTAAAACACATGTTTACCTATGAAAAGTTTTAAAACTGTTAAATGCTTAGTTATTGGAGCTCTCATTTTTTAGCGTTTTTACCTGAAAATTTCAAAATAACATGCATGAAGTTATTGGGTTTTCGTTATTTTACTTATTGCTTTTTTTTTTCTGTTTATTTTTTGTGTTTTGATTGTTACTCATCTATTATCAGCCCAAATTGCAATGAATTGTACTGAAGCTGTGAAAAGTGAGAAGGTAATTTCCCTGGCTCAGCATGATTTTTTTAACTAGTTCTTCCTGTTATCTACTTTTCTAATTTGTATGAATTGGTTGAATTTACAACCTTTGTCTGTGTTTCATTTTCCCCTGTTTTTTCTATCTAGTTTTATCCAAGTCTATGATTTTCCTATACACATGATTCTTGCTTGATTAATGTGGCTAATGTCACCTGGGGGAAAAAGACTTGATTCTTATCTGTTGTTGGTTCAGTGTAGTTTTATGTCAATATGCTTCTGGTCTGTAGTTTGCGGAGGTAAAGTAGCCTTAAATTGTGTGCACAAAAAAAGATAAAAATAAAATCTCTGATGGGTGCATATTCTATTCAGTTACGGTAAGAGCATTGTTTTAATGTTTATGTTTTTAGTAATAAGAATGCACCACCAACAATGAAGTACATGCACTCTCACAATATTGTTTCATTTAGAAGAAATCTTTTTTGCACGCAATTTAGGGATTTTTATCCCTCAAAAATATATAGCATGTATGAATGAAATTTGTCCATTGGCCATGTAGTTGGTTTGGTAGTTGTAAATGTATCCTACAAAAGAAAATGAAGCCTTGTAATCGGTTGTGAATCTCAGTTTTCATTGTAGGCTTGTGGTAAGTCACTTCATTTAACTGGATGGGATATTCAGCATGCTGCTCTGTCTGGTAGAAGTTGTTACTGGAGTATAAAACTATTAATTTTGAATGATAAATATTGAAAAAGAATCCTACTCTTACATATAGTACATGCTATCACTTTTAACAATAATGGGTTCTTTCTTGAAAAGCATTGAAAGTAATCTTGTAGTTTGAACAAAATCAGACTACTCTTGCATACCAAATACATTTCTGCACTCTTTTCATGTTACAGTTTTGCTCTTCATTTCTGATGCATTTTTTTTAATCAACTCCCTTCTGTTAGTTGAAATTTATTAGAAATCACAAAAATTGAAGGTGTCACTTCCTATTTCATGATTTTCTTTTATAACTTTGTAGTTTCCAACAAATTTTAACTAGGGAAGGTGTGTTAGAAAGAGTGTGTTAGGGAGTATGTTGCTAACAGTCCTCAATCCTTATTGCCCTAATCCATGTGGTTGTGTCTGTTTTGTGCAATCAGATAAATGGAGTGGAGTCAAGTAACTTATTCGATTTCATTGACCAATGTACAAACACAATGCAGCTAAAGCAAATACATGCTCACCTGCTTCGCACATCCCTCTTTTGTGACCCATATATTGCCAACAAATTACTCACTGCTTATGCTATCTCATCATGCTCTTGCCTCATATATGCTAAAAATGTGTTTAATCAAATCCCACAACCAAATCTCTATTGCTGGAACACCCTGATTCGTGGATATGCCTCCAGTTCAGACCCAACTCAGAGTTTCTTGATCTTTTTGCATATGTTACATTCATGTTCAGAGTTCCCAAACAAATTCACTTTTCCTTTTCTCTTCAAGGCAGCCTCACAGCTCAAAGTTTTGCATCTTGGAAGTGTTTTACACGGAATGGTTATTAAGGTTTCCATGGCTTCAGACTTGTTCATACTCAATTCACTAATAAATTGCTATGGTTCAAGTGGGGCACCAGATATGGCTCTTAGAGTCTTCTCCAACATGCCTGGAAGAGACATTGTTTCTTGGAATGCTATGATAAATGCCTTTACGGGAGGGGGGATGCCTGAGAAGGCTTTGCTTTTGTTTCTGGAAATGGAGACAAAAGATGTGAAACCAAATGTTATCACAATGGTTAGTGTTCTTTCGGCTTGTGCTAAGAAGTTAGACTTGGAATTTGGAAGGTGGATCTGTTCATATATTGAAAGGAATGGGTCTGCTGAGGACTTGATTTTAAATAATGCAATGCTTGACATGTATGTTAAATGTGGTAGCATTAATGATGCAAAAGATTTGTTCAATAAGATGTCAGAGAAAGACATTGTCTCTTGGACAACAATGCTTGATGGTCATGCCAAATTAGGAAATTATGATGAGGCTCACCATATCTTTGATACAATGCCTCATAAAGAAACTTCTGCATGGAATGCCCTGATTTCTGCATATGAACAGAACGGAAAGCCTAGGGAGGCTTTGTCTCTCTTCCATGAAATGCAGCTCAGTAAGGATGCAAAACCAGATGAAGTTACTCTTATTTGTGCACTGTGTGCTTGTGCCCAGTTAGGGGCAATTGATTTTGGTCACTGGATTCATGTATACATAAAGAAGCATGACATTTATCTGAATTTCCATTTAGCAACCTCTCTCCTTGATATGTATGCTAAATGTGGAGATCTAAATAAAGCAATGCAGGTATTTCATTCAGTAGAAAAGAAAGATGTGTATGTTTGGAGTGCCATGATTGCCGCACTGGCAATGTATGGGCAAGGGAAAGCGGCCTTAGATTTGTTCTCAAGCATGTTAGAAGCTAATATTAAGCCAAATGCTGTGACATTTATCAACATTTTGTGTGCTTGCAACCACGCAGGACTGGTCAATGAGGGAGAACAACTTTTCAAACAAATGGAACCATTATACGGTATTGTGCCCCAAATACATCATTATGTTTGTGTGGTTGACATATTCGGACGTGCAGGTCTTCTGGAAAAGGCTGCATCATTCATAGAGAAGATGCCAATACCTCCAACTGCTGCTGTGTGGGGAGCTTTGCTTGGGGCCTGCAGTCGCCATGGCAATGTCAAGCTTGCTGAACTTGCTTATCAGAATCTTCTTGAATTAGAGCCTTGTAACCATGGAGCCTTTGTCCTTCTGTCGAATATATATGCTAAAGCAGGGAACTGGGAGAAAGTTTCCAACTTAAGAAAGCTTATGAGAGATTCTGATGTGAAGAAAGAACCTTGGTGTAGCTCAATCGATGTAAATGGTATTGTTCATGAGTTTCTGGTAGGTGATAATTCCCATCCTTTTTCTCGAAAGATCTACTCAAAGTTGGATGAGATTTCCGAAAAATTCAAGTCCATTGGTTACAAGCCAGACATGTCTAACCTCCTGCAACTTAGTGAAGAAGATAACTTGGTGGAGCAGTCCTTGAACGTTCATGGTGAAAAATTGGCAATAGCTTTTGGACTTATTAGCACTGCATCATCTCAACCTATTCGAATAGTGAAGAATATTCGCATTTGTGGAGATTGTCATGCCTTTGCTAAACTTATTTCTCAACTTTATGATAGAGATATTTTGTTGAGAGATCGCTATCGTTTCCATCATTTCAGAGGAGGGAAATGCTCATGCATGGATTATTGGTGAGTGCTGCAATATTTCACAATGTATAGATGGATTACATGGTACTGCTTCTGAGCCACTCTTGTTCTTCATTTCAAATGCACCACAAGACCATAGGAGCGAACCATAATATATGACCTTCCAGATCCTAGTTTAGAATATGACTTCCATCTAAAACACAAATGCATTTCCCTTCACTTGACTTTCTGATTTTTTTTTTAATTAAAATTAATATATTACTTTTTTTTGCTAATGTTAGATATGGAATTCTTTCTTGATTATATGAACATAAAAACTGAAAACCAAAAGCTGAACTTTTGGGCGAAGCTAACTTGTAAAACATCCATGGCATGACCCCAATAAAACATGTCTGCATAACATGAAATCATAAAGTTGCACTACAGCTGGAATGAAGATTGGTGGTACTTGATGCTCTTCACTAACTTTTGTTAATCAACACAAATAATGAATCGTACTCATTGCTTCTTGTTCAAGTGAAAAATACTTGAAGTAGCAGAAAACGAACATTGGCCCAAGGTATCAGAAAAAGAATTTAATCTGGAACATATTGGAAATCACTATTCTCACCAAAGATTATTATGCAAACCACATGTTTAAGTTTAATTTTCTGAGTCTAAATTGTATTCTTTGCAAGGATCAGATCAAATGTCTCCTCAGTTACTGAACAAGAATGCAAATTGAGTTGCGTAAACGTAAAGGGAAAACAACTAGCCAACCACAAGTGGAAGGGACTGAGCAGTTACCTACTTTTTCTATTTTATGAACATAGTTTCTTTGATTTGGCCATCCATCACTCTTAACCAATTTAGTTCATTGATGATAAAAATATCATTAGTTTGGTTTGTCAATCATCATAATATATGTACCCTTTCTTCCAAGTCTCAGCATTCCATCTACAGAATGATTCTGATGCCACTTTTCATGACAAAGTAAATCAGTGGAACTACTAAAATTCCTTGAAGGAGAATATATATCCTTGGAAAAATGAAACGGGAACCAATGTAATGAAGTAAAAAGAACAAACACTTATATAAATGTTGTAAAGAATTCTTCTTATTTCACAGCATATGTCTATACTTTCTTGTGATTTTTTCGCTGCATTTTGTGAAACTTTGATACTATTTTGAGTACTTTTCAAATATAATTTGCAAGACAATATCTCAAACCAGAGAACTACTCTATGAGAAGATTAAATTTTTACCATTATATTTAATTTAAAGTAGAAAAGTTAATCACTGAGATATATTTAACAATATTATTAATTATTAAATTCATTATCCAAATGAAAAATAACTGATGAATTACTAACACTATATCCTGATTAAAAAATATAACATATTAAAAAAAAGCTATAAATATAAATACTAATTCAAAATATAAACATAAAGCAAAGTTCGTTACAACATTGTAAATTGTATTCCAAATCACAAATCAGTGTTCACTTTTTTTGTTATCTTATTTAATAAGTTTAAATTGAATATTTATGTATATGTTTAAATGAATTATATATATATATATATATATATATATATATATATATATATATGTTTTTTATTTTTATGTTACTTTCAAGTTTACCTTACAACACTCATTTGTAAACATGTCGTTTCTGCGGGTTAATTACTTCATCAAAAACCACTTGTCGTATATGGTTTCTTTTATTATTATTTTTATATTGGTATTTATAATAAATTTGGTGCTGTAATTTTAAAATATTTATTAAGGGTAAAATAGAAAATGATTTATGTGCATTAAATAGAAACATTTTCATTATATATTATTAATTAAAATTTGTGATAAAAAATACTTCTTAAATTTAAAAATACTTACAAAATGTTTTCTCATAGTTTAAATTTGTTTTATAATAATACCTAAAAATTAAATTCTGCATGATTTTGTTTTCCAAAATGAAATTGGTATGTTATATATGAAAATATTTAAAGACCTGTGAATTTTATCGACTAGTCTTTGGTTAAATCAAACTGGGTTCGATTTTTGAAATAAAATGTCAAGTTTTAAATTTGTGATTTTATAAGTTTTGTTTTCACAAATTCTTTTCACCCATTTTCAGGTACTTTATATTTTCTTTTTAATTTTTTATAACTTAAGACATTTCATTACATAAAAAGAGAAAAAAAAAAAAATTTGCCGGCGAATTTGATTGACGGCGAGTGTGGCCAAAGCCGTGAAGTAGTGTCACCACGCTGGCTCTGCTTCGCTGCTACTTGGGAATCCTCGTCGCTATTTTCAACACAAACAAAACAGTCTCTTGCTCCCATTTCTTGCTTTCACATTCCTAAGATAACAACCACCCTTTTCATTGCTTGATCCAGGTAGAGTCTTTTCCTTACTCGTTTTGATTCTCTTTTTACTTTACTTCCATGTTTTTCTTTTTTCTTTTCTTTTTTTCCTTTTGGGTCTTCAAATCTATGAAATCGTGTTTTTTTTTGTCTTTTCTTTCTCAAAATGTTAGCTTTAAGTTCCCCCTGTGCTGTTGTTAATCTGTTCTTCAAGCTTATTTCTGGGTTTTGTTTGTTTTGGATTTTTTATGGCGTTTTCATTTTCTGCATTCGCTGCTATTAAGTATGATTGGAAGCATTGTAACCTGCTCTCGGGTGAATTACTGATCCTCTTTGATTTTCTGGTATGTGTTTTTGTGAAGGGAAAATAATTTGTTGATCTCCGGACTAATTGGCTTCTGCTTTCTATCAAGCTTGATTTAGGGTGTGTTTGATTTTTATTTTCAGAACTGTTTTTAGTTTTTGGAATACAACTCCACAAGGTTGCTCAGACAGCTGGTTGGGGATGGTGCAAGGCATAGGGCAGGGTGGATAGTTGAGGCAGTGGTTGAGCAAAATTAAAACATCTCACTTATTTTGGAAACAATTTTCAAAACTTGCTAGATTTTGGATGAGAAATTGATTACTGGCTGAATGGTACAGAATATTATTCTGGGAAACAGTTTTAAAACTAAAATGTGAGAAGAGAATCAAACAAGCCCTAATTGTTTTCTTTTCTTCTCAACGTTGTACATAGTAAACCTGCAAAGTGAATTGGTGTCAGTGGTATGTGAATGCTGTTGTTATTGATTTGCTTATATTTGATGATAGGAAAATTTGTTAATTTCTGGAATAGTTCCTTTTTTATAAGCTTGCTATGTCTTTGGTTTCTAATGAGAATTGTGTTGTCCAATTCCCAGGGATTCATGCTATCATGGATGTAAAAACAAAGAGGAGAGGTGTTATTGAGAACGGCAATGGAGGGGAGGATATGGTTCTGGCGAATTTGATTGCAAATGGGGATGATGTTGGTCCTCTTGTCAGGCTCTCTTTTGAAATGGGGCGGCCTGAAGGGCTTCTTCACCAGCTGATGTATGTGGTTAAGCAAAAGGAAGCAGAAATCGAGGAAATGTGCAAGACCCACTATGAGGAATTCATCCTTGCAGTTGATGAGCTTCGTGGCGTGTTAGTTGATGCGGAGGAGCTGAAGAGTGAGCTCCAAGGTGACAACTTTAAGTTGCAGCAGGTTGGCAGCGCCCTTCTTGACAGGCTTGAAGAGCTTCTTGAATCTTATTCTATTAGGAAAAATATGACTGAAGCTATAGAGATGTCGAAGAACTGTATTCAGGTGCTGGAGCTTTGTGTGAAGTGTAACAGTCACATTTCTGAAGGTCAGTTTTATTCTGCACTGAAAACATTGGATTTAGTTGAGAAAAGTTGCACCCAGAATATTCCTGCAAAGGCTCTCAAAGAGGTCATAGAGAAGAGAATTCCTGTTATAAAGTTGCACATTGAGAAGAAAATGTGCATTCAAGTTAATGAATGGATGGCTGACATTAGGTGTGCCGCTAAAAATATTGGGGAAACAGCAATTGGTCGTGCTGTGACAGTTCGTCAAAGGGACAAGGAAATGCTAGAACAGCAGAGGAAGATTGAGGAGCAAAATATTTCGGGACTAGGGGATCTAGCTTATACATTGGATGCTGAAGAAGTTGAAGAAGATTCAGTTTTACAGTTTGATCTTACACCACTTTATCGAGCTTGTCATATTCATGACTGCCTGGGTATCAAAGAGAAGTTTCGGGAATATTACTATACTAATAGGTTGTTACAATTGAATTCAGACCTGGAGATAACTTCAGCACAACCTTTTGTTGAATCGTACCAGACATTTTTTGCTCAAATTGCTGGGTTCTTTATAGTGGAGGATAGAGTCCTTAGAACTGCCGGGGGCCTCCTGGTAGCTGATCAGGTTGAAACATTGTGGCAGACAGCTGTAGCTAAAATGACATCACTGTTGGAGGAGCAGTTCTCATGTATGGAATCTGCCCCTCACCTTCTCCTGGTGAAGGATTATGTCACTCTGTTTGGATCTACTCTTAGACAATATGAACATGACATAGGCACATTTCTTGATGTTCTTGATAGCAGTTGTGACAAATACCACCTGCTTCTTTTAGAAGAATGCCGGCAACAAACTATTGATGTGTTTGGTAATGACCCGTATGACCAAATGGAGATAAAAAAGGAAACTGACTATGAGAACATTGTTCTGTCATTTGATCTTCAAACATCAGATATTATGCCTGAATTTCCATACATTGCACCATTCTCCTCCATGGTACCTGATACTTGTCGCATTGTGAGATCATTTATCAAAGGCTCTGTTGATTACTTATCTTATGGCATACATATGAATTTCTTTGATATTGTGAGAAAGTATTTAGATAAGTTTCTGATTGATGTACTAAATGTAACATTACTAGAGAAAATCAATAGTGGCAATATCACTGTACCTCAACTCATGCAGATTGCCACAAACATAACTGTTTTTGAAAGAGCCTGTGATTTTTTCCTCCGACATGCCGCCCAACTATGTGGCATCCCAGTACGATCAATTGGAAGGCCTCAAGCTACTTTAACTGCAAAGTTGATCTTGAAGACATCCAGAGAAGCAGCTTTCATTGCCTTACAGAGTCTGGTGAACACAAAGATAGGCGAGTTTATGACTCTTACTGAAAGTGTTGATTGGACTCCTGAGGAGACAAATGAGAATGGAAATGACTACATACATGAAGTGATCATTTACCTTGACTCTTTCATGTCCCCAGCACAACAAATTTTACCCTTGGATTCTGTGTACAGAGTTGGGAGTGGTGCTTTTGAGCACATTTCAAATTCCATAGTGGCAGCTTTCTCTAGTGATAGTGTCAAAAGATTTAATGTAAATGCAGTTATAAATATTGAATATGATCTTCAGATCATAGAGAATTTTGCAGAGGAAAGGTTCTATTCTGCTGGTTTGGGAGTAACACACGATGAAGTTAGTTTTAAGAACTGCTTGGTAGAAGCACGGCAGTTAGTCAATCTTTTGCTAAGTAGTCAACCTGAAAACTTCCTGAATGCTGATATATGGGACAAAAATTATTATGCTCTTGAAATTAAGAAGGTGGCTGCCATCCTTGATAAATTCAAGGATTCTCCAGATGGCATCTTTGGAAGCCTTGCTAACAAAAACGCAAAGCTAAGTGCTAGAAAGAAGTCAATGGACGTGCTCAAAAAGAGACTTAAGGATTTCAATTGATAAGATTTGGAAGCATTCATGACTCGTGGGAAGTAGGGCATAGTTGAAGTATTTTTCTTCATCTCTTGTGGATGTTTTAACTTCATAATTTACATGTTTCACGTTGTCCTAATTTGTTTGTGGCCTAAATCTTCTCTCTATATCTTTCTGGTAATGTGCTTCATTGGAATGAATTACCAAATTTTTGTTACTGCTTAGATGAAGCACTTCTGGAGTTGTCAGTAGAGTCAGATTCAAGCTTTTGGTATTCACTTGATCTGATTTCTGAGGATTTGCTGCCAATGATTTGGTCCCAAAATAAATGGATATGGATATTTTGTCTCATATACTGATTCTATTTTCTTTTTTATTTATTAATTCTCAGGCATTCTCATTCTCACTCTAGAATATTTAAAATGATTGAATCAGAAATACTGAAGATTAGTGTATTTTCTCTCTTTTATGTTGAAGTTATTATCTAGTGCCATAATTTCAAAGCTCTCATCCCACTGTTTGATTATAAATGTTGCTCGCCTAATAAATGGATTTTGTGATTCTATCTTAAAAAAATTATTTGATCCAAATATAATAGTTAAATAAATTTTAGTTTTAATTTAATATAAAATTTTAATCAAATTAAATTAATATTTTACTATTCAATCATGTGATTATATTTTCCTAAAATTATGGAAATATTTTTTATAAAGAAATATTTTTATAATTAAATATGGTTGAATAAAGATAAATGTTGTAAATTTTTTAAATAATTATCATAATTTTATATTCATCTTTCTCTATATTATTGGATAATCTCATATAAAAATTGATCATACAAATTTTATTAAATATAAAAATAATATAATAATTATGCAACAATAAATAAATAGTAAAACAATTCTTTTATATCATTCATTTTGTATTTGTTAACTAATTACAAAAATATAATATTATATCTAAATATATAATTTTGTTGATTTTAATTTAGTTCTTAATTTTTAATTTCAAATTAAAAAATAAAATCATATTTAATAAAATTAATAACATATTGTAACTCATATATTTCACTAAATAAAAGTCTCCTTATATTAATTATATTTTTTTTAAATAACTGGTAATAAACGTTTACCGTTAAATATATTTTTTCTCTTACTAATTATCATTTATTAATATTTTTAAAATTATAAAATATTATTAATATTAAAATAATATATATTCTATAATAATTAAAATACTTACTCAAATACAAAAATAAAAAATTGAGAGAAAATAAATAAAATTTAATATATTCAAATTTCTTAAAAATTGTAAAAATTCTTATGAAAAAACTTAATATATGAATTAAGATTAAAAGATATTACAATCGTATCATGATTATATTGACTTCTAAAAACAAAGAAAACCTAAAAACTGGAATTAATGAAGAAACAAAAAATCACAAAGCAAATAAAGGTCTTCTCTTGATAGCATCAAACTCTCTGATTATGAAGATTAATTGACGCGCAATTCGGCAGCATCAATCTTGTTGATGTTTTCTGGTTTGTAGAAGCCGGTGACTGGATCTGGCTTCCACCAACCCTTTTCATTCGACACCGCTCTCTCTTCCTCCGTCTTCGCCGTCATCTTCCCCCTATTTCTCGAAGTCATTGCTTCATTGGCTGTGCTTTTTGACCCCAAAGCGTAACCACGTCTGGTTCAACTCCGAACACCAAAATTCAAATCAAACCCATGAAATAATTTGTTTTTCTAAATCGCACTTTCACAAACATATTATATTATAAAATGTTTTTTTTTTTTCAATTAGTATTTAATAATATTAAAAAATAATTTAATATATTTTTTGTATGTGCATCTTCCTGTCACTATATTTTTAAATGTAAATAATTAATGGTTTTCAAACTAAGAAAATAAATCTCAAATCTTTAAAAATATATTAATTCAATCATTCTATCAATTTTATAAAATTAAAATTTTATTATTAACATATTTCAGAAAAGGTAAACAACTTTATCTACATAAAAATAAATAAATTTCAAATATATTATTAAAATATGATTTATATATATTTTTTAACTTATAATATTATTAAGTCAATTATAACGTATTAATCTTAAAGATAAAATTATAATAAATAAAAATTTTAAATCAAATATATCTCATACATAAAAATTAACTTTAATAGTATTATTATATCATATATAAAACTAATACTTTCATTTTAAAATAAAATAATATAAAAAATATATATTTTCCTTCATAATAGAACAGAGAATAAAACCAATACAACTTTTATGATTTTTTTTATTTTGGAAACCTCTTAATTTAATGAAAATGACATGAAAAACAAAAAGATTACCTATTACTGAGACACTTGTAAAATTCGACAGTAACAAAGATGAGAAAAGTTTGATATTTCTGAAAGATGAAGTCATGGATGACGATGAAAATTAGAGTAACTGGGAAAAACAGTGCTTTTATGATGACTTGATCTATTTGAACACTCTTGAATTTGTAGCAAGGTGAATATGAGAGTGGATCATTTTATAGTTTAGAAAATTTTATCATCTGTTGGATAAAAAATAAATTCAATATCTTTACTAATATATTTTTATTCGTTTGATACAAATTATATCAAGTATATCTGTATTTTTTTTTATTCGTTTAGATTAATTCTGATTCGTTAAATATTGATATAATATTTCATTAGATTTTAAAAAATAAAATAATGAATGGTTAACCAAATTAGATATGCAAATGGAAATATAAATTTTAATTATAATTTTGTAAATTTTAATTATTTTTTTTGCAGTGTCTACTTTTATTATTGGTATGTGATACTTATTTAAATGATAAAATATTTTATGTCATGAATAATGAAAACAAATATATAATAAATTTTGGGATATTTTTCTTTTTAAAAATAGTGTTCTAAGTTCAATCTCAATTTAATAACTGACATATTTATAATATTATTCAATATATTTTTTAATCATAATATATAAACAATTTATTTAATTCAAATATTTTAAATAGCTGTATATTTTAAGTTAAAAAAATCAATTAAACTAATTAATATAATCAAAGATATTGAAATAATTAGATTATTTTAAAATTTATAATTCAGTTTTTTTATTTTTTACATATATTTTAGTTTTATATATTACTAGTAACAGATTTAATATTATTTTATGAAATTAATAAATACTCTTTTCAAAAATTATTATCTAAAAAAGTAATTACCTTAATTTTTATTTTATGTATCAGTTTAATGATTCCCGACAAGATATTGTTGAATATAGAAGAAATAGAGTTTGAGATTAATCTCCCTCATATATAAATCACACATAGGCTATTTATAAGAGAGATACAAGAGTAACTGAAAATAATAAAATAAACAGAAGATATTATTTGATATTGTGGTTACCAATATCTTAACAATATCAAATAATATCTAAACAATATCTAACACTCCCCCTCAAGTTGGAGCATACAAATCATATGTGTCAAGTTTGTTATAAATATAATCAATTTTAGGCCCTCGTAAAGATTTAGTAAAAATATCTGCTAACTGATAAGATTTAATAAAAATATCTGCTAACTGATCACTTGAGTTAACAAACTCAGTCTTGATGTCTCCAGACATAATATTTTCTCGAATGAAATGACAGTCAATCTCAATGTGTTTTGTCCTCTCATGAAAGAGAGGATTAGAGCTAATATGAAGAGCAATCTGATTGTCACACACAAGTGACAACTCCAAATTGTAACTCTCTAAGCAATTGCTTGAGTCAAATAAGATGTCATAACTCTATATTCTGCTTCTGCACTAGATCTTGCTACAACACTCTGTTTCTTACTTTTCCATGAGACCAAGTTACCACCAATGAAGACACAATATCTAGATGTAGATCTTCTATCCGAAGGAGATCCTGCCCAGTCAGCATCTGAGTAGCAAACAACTCTTAGTTATTATAATCATATAATAATCATTTTTCAAGAGATCTTTTAATATACTTTAAGATACGAATGACTGCATTCCAATGATCTTTACATGAGGAATTAAGAAATTGGCTTACCACACTGACTGCAAAGGAAATGTCAGGACAAATAACTGTAAGATAATTCAATTTTCTAACCAATCTTCTATACTTTTCAGGATCAGGTATAAACTCCCCCTGATTTGGTAGAAGTTTAATATTGGGATCCATGGGTGTATCAACAGACTTTGAACTCATCAACCCAGTTTCCTCCAAAATGTCCATGACATACTTCCTCTGAGATATAACAATACCATCATTGGACTGTGTCACCTCAATACCCAAGAAATATCTAAGTTTGACAAGATCTTTGGTCTGAAAATGGTGACAGAGATGCTGTTTCAACTAAGAGATGTCATGGTTGTCACTACCTGCAAGAACGATGTCATCAACATATACTATAAAGTAAACACATTCAGTATTCGAGTGTCGATAAAAGACAGAGTGATATGCTTCACACCGAGTCATACCCAATTGTTGAACAACCTTGCTAAACTTTTCAAACCAGGCCTAGGAGACTGTTTTAGGTCATATAGGGATTTGCGAAGACGACATACTATCCCAGAAGACTCCCCCTGAGCAACAAACCCAGGAGGTTGCTCCATATAGATTTCTTCTTGCAAATCACCATTGAGGAAAGTATTTTTAACATCTATTTGATAAAGAGGTTATTGTTGAAGAGTGACCATGGTGATAAATAAATAAACAGAAGTCATCTTTGCCACGGGGGAAAATGTATCTCCATAATCCAACCCAAAAATTTGGGTATAACCTTTGGCCACAAGACAAGCTTTGAGGCGATCAATAGTACCATCACGTCCAACTTTGATAGCAAACACCCACCTGCAACTAACAAGAGATTTCTCAGACGGTAACGAGACCAATTCCCAAGTTCCACTATTATGAAGAACACTTAGTTCATCTAACATGGCCTGACACTAACCAGGATGGGCTAAAACTTCACAGACAGTTTTTGGAATGGTCACAGAAGAAAGAGAGGAATAACATGTATAAAAAGGTAATGATAGTCGATGATAACTCAAACCAATATAATGGAGAGAGGGATTACGTGTAGAACAGATACCTTTTCGGAGGACAATAAAGTAGTTGACACTTGAGTGGAGTCACATGGTGGTGGTTGTGATTGGTTTCGACAACTACAAACCTGAAGAGGCGATGAAGAAGAAGCTGACTGTGGAGCAGAAACTAATGGTGAAGAAGACACAATTAGAGGCTCACAAACAACAGGAACATTAAATGTACTAGGAGTGTTGAAGATTAGATGGACACAGAGGTGAAAATTGACTTTTAAAATAAAAAGAGAATTTATCAAAGGTGACATCTGCAGACACAAAATAACAGTTAAGAGAAGGAGAAAAATATTTGTATCCTTTTTGTAATCTTGTAAACCCTAAGAAAACACATTTATGTGATCTAGGAGAAAGCTTGTCAAGACCAAAATTGAAATTATGAATAAAACATGTAGACCCGAAAACTCTTAGAGGTAAAGGATGAAGTGGTTCATGAGGGAATAAAATGGAATGAGGTATTTTATTATCTAAAACCGAAGATGACATGCGATTAACGAGATAACATGCAGTAAGAAGAACATCACCCCAAAAATGCTAAGGAACCTCTCCATGAATTAAAAGAGTGCGAGTTGTTTCAATAAGATGTCTATTTTTACTTTCAACTACACCATTTTGTTGAGGTGTATAAGCACAAGAAGTTTGATGCAAAATACCATGAGAAGTCAAGAATTGTTTAAAAGAATGAGAAAGATATTCACGACCATTATCACTGCACAAAACTCTAATAGAAATACCAAACTGAGTTTATATTTCATTAAAAAAAGATTGAAAGATATGAAATACTTTAGAACGATTTTTCATCAAAAATAACCTTGTACATCTGAAATAATCATCAATGAAAGTAACAAAGTATTGAAAACCTAAAGTAGACTTAACGCGGCTAGGTCCTCAAATGTCAGAGTGAACCACGACAAAAGGGGATGAAACAACACTACGAGAAAAGGAAGTATGACTATGCTTACCTAATTGACACGACTCACATGTCAAACTAGACAACTTAGATAAGGCAGGGACAAGCTGCTGTAACTTGGCAAGACTTGGACGACCTAACTGAGCATGGAGAAGAGAGAGAGACTCTATAACTGTACCAACATGTGTAAAGAGACGAAGATGATAAAGACCATGAGACTCATATTCTGTGCCAATCACCTGTTTCGAACTCCGGTCCTGTAAACACATAGAATTGTTGGTAAAAGAAACAACACAATTAAGAGAACGAGTTAGACGACTAATAGATAATAGGTTAAAAGGAGATCTAGGGACATAAAGAACATTATCAATAGTTAAATAAGGGAAAAGTTTAACAATTCCAACACCATGAGATGATACTCTAGAGTCATCAGCCAGTGTAACAAAAGGAAAAAGATTAGGAGAGGATAAAGAGGAGAACAAAGATTTGTTACCACTAATATGATCAGTGGCTCTTGAATCAAAAACCCAAGGACCAGAAGAAGATTGGGTCAGACCAACAAAAGATGTACATGTGTGTGCAACAAACACAATGGAATTAGAAGACTGTTGATCCTTATATCATTTGAGAAATTTGTTGAACATAGCAGATGTGTCTGATGAAATAGAAGAAAGATGATCCTTAGCAGATAAAGGTGGGGAAAGATCAGTCTGAACAACTATAGTAGATCAAGGAGGACGATCATGTAATGCATAACACTTATCAATCTTGTGACCTAGCTTGCCACAATGTTCACACTCATGTAATGCATAATACTGGTCAATCTTGTGACCTAGCTTGCTACAGTATTCACACTTAGGACGCCCTTTTCCCTGTTTGTGAGGGCGAGTTCGATCATCACGGTAAGATACCAATGCAGAAGAATCATTAATAAAAGCAGGTGTGTCAGGGTTGGATTTTGTTGGTACACGCAAAAGAGTGGAGCAGGTCGATGTCAAGGTAGGGACAACCGGAGAACCCAAAATCTGATCACGAATATGTGAATATTGATCAGCAAGTCCGTGTAATGCCCCTAGCATGAAGAACTTTGATTGTTGTGCTATCTCGGTGGCAGGATCAGGGGAAGGAGACAATAACTCATTGAACTCATGAAAAATAGCATGAATTTTGCCCATATAATCAGTCACAAAATCTTGATGTTTAGAGGCAATAACATCTACAAATTTAGAACAGACATCATAGAGACGTTGAGTATCATTGGTATATAATAACTTGACATGTTCCCAGATTTTGGCACATGTTTCGTAGGAACGAAAAATTTGTTTTAACGAAGGATCAAGAGTACCCTTGAGAATCACACATAATTGAGCATCAATGGTGTCAACGGTCTTCCTCACCAAGAGTGAGAGTAGGTGCTTTCGGGGTAAGATGATCAAGATACTTCTGACTCTTAAGCCAGAATCTCACGTCTGATGACCACGTGACATAATTAGGGTCAGTTAACTTGTCAATGAATAAATGCACATTAACATAGTTAGTGTAGATAGAAGGATCAGTCGCAGAACTGACAGAATTAGAAGTACTAGAAGTAGCGGAATAAGTCATAAAGGACGGAGGCGACAGTGAACCAGTAGATCAGGTAAGTTATCAGGAAAGAGAGGTAAGTCACTAATGGACGCGCTTAAATACCAAGTTTTTCCTTGTAAGAACCTTCCTAGACATGCACTTTCACACTACCAAATAATATCCAATAACAAAAATAACTCTTTTCTGATGTGGAAGATCAGTTTAACCGACAGCGATAAAGGCGGTGGTGGCGGCTCCAACAGTGGTCAAAGGCAAAAAAAAATTTTAAATAACCTTAAGCACTAGATACCATGTTAAATTTTTTTTAAAAATAGCCTTAAGCACTAGATACCATGTTGAATATAGAAGAAATAGAGTTTGAGATTAATCTCCCTTGCGTATAAATCACACATAGGGTAATCTATTTATAATAGAGAGATACAACTAAAAGAGTAACGGAAAATAACACAATAAACAGAAGATATTGTTTGATATTGTGGTTACCAATATACAACAATATCTTAACAATATCAAATAATACCTAAACAATATCTAACAGATATAATAGTATATTATGAAAATATTTATTTTAAAATATAAAAAATTAAAGAAAATGATTTTTATAGTATATATAGTTTTTAATATTTTAGATAATAATTCAAAAAATATAAACTATATTTAACCATTTTTTATCTTTGGAGATAAAATCACTCTATGTGATATATTAAAAATAAGCTATATTATAATTATTCAAATTTATAATGTTGAAATTAATATATTAAAAATAAGTTATAAGTACCTAACAGTATAGTTATTTTTTAATAAAATATATTATTAAAAAACTAATATATTAATTATCTTACATAAATATATTAAATAATAAATATATTACTCAGTTTAAGTGTATAGTGTAATTAAAAATAATATAATTTTTTGTATCTAAATAATCTTAATTAATATATATCTTTTAGAGTTAAGCTAACTACATAAAATTACAATAATAAAAAAAATAGAACAAATATGATTGATTTAAAAAGAAATACAAAGTCATATTTACAAATATTAAAAAATTGATATTTAAATATTTTATTTATTTAATGAGAATATTACAAATTATGTTATCTATGATATTTTAATTTTAACCTATAACAATAATTTCAATATTAAAATTTGTATGAGTAACATTATAATTAACAAAAGATAAACTTTATAAGTAGTTAGATATTTATGTTTTAAAGAGATCAGAGTGATTAAATAATAAATAGTTGGATTTAAATTCAATCTTCCCTGTGTGAATTAAAAAAAATATATTTTATATATTTTTTTATTATAATAATTTTATTTTTAAGTAAAAACACATGACAATGGAGATCTTAAACTATATGTGTGAATATATTTTAAAATAAAATTATAAGGAGGTTATTAGATTATCTATCACCACATTTAATTTCATCTAATTCATCAATTACAAAAACATATGTCTAAATTTAACATAATTTTTATTTTAATCAATTTATGAAAAGATTAAAAGTCATTTTACTAATTTTTTATATTTAAGTTTCATGATTGATAATATTTGTTATTATTATAAAATTAATTAAGTGACAAGTTTTTTTTTTAAGTTTTTGAATTAATTTATTAACTTTTAAAATATAATAATTGTAATTATTTTTTATAAAAGATGAAAAATAAAATTATATTTAAATTTTAAAATATATTTAAAATATTTTGTACATTTTCATTTTTTAAATATAAAATTAGTTTTTATTTTTTAATATTTTAATGAGTAAATTATATATCTATTTGAAAAACATGAATTTGATGTATATAAAATTTTCTTAATTTTTAGATAAAATAATATTTTTTAATATTTTAATGAGTAAATTATATATCTATTTGAAAAACATGAATTTGATGTATATAAAATTTTCTTTATTTTTAGATAAAATAACAATTATAACAAAACAGAAACTACTAATTTTATAAAATATAAAAAATCACCAGATTTATTAAAGAAATTTTAGATGATGTGTTATTATTTAATCTATTTTCTTTTACATGAATATAACTCCTCTTGTAATTAATTTGTTACCCTTTTCTATTACCCAATAAAATGTTTTTAATAAATGAATTATTATATTAATTTGTCATTAAACATATAAGATTTTTAATAAATTAAAATAAATATAATTTTTGATTACCTAAATTATTATAATTAAAAAAAAACTTGATTGATATATAAGAATGAGGGAGGGGTGAGAAAAAAAAATACAGGGTGGAAAATTATAAAAGAAGGTCAAATATGTTAGGAGAAAGAGAAAACAAAGGGGTAATCTTTTAAATTATAATAATAAATAATAATAATTATTATATTAATAAAGATTATAATTAACTATAATTTATAATTGTTTTTATTTTATTAACTTTTAGTATTAGAAATAATTGTAAATTAAATGACAAAGTAAATTTGGTTTCTATGTGGAAAATTTTGGTTTCTGTGTTTTAAACTGTCATTTCACCATCACTGATAACTCCTTACGTGGCATTAAAATATCCACCCTCTCCCTCTCTCGTTCTCTCTCTTCTTAAGTCTTGTGAAACAAGAAAAAGCTCTTTGGAGGGAGCTGCATCGTTCTGCGAGCCAAACAAATCGTCACCCTCCATTGTTCTAATCCAACGCCACTCCGCACTAGCCAAAGCTCTTTCTCTTCCCTTTCTCTTTCTTCCCTCACAGCGGTTTTAATCATAAACCCTAGCCGAAACAGTGAACCTCACTCTCTCTCTCTCTTTCCCTCTTCTCAGCGCGCACTTTTCTCGTCTATTCCCTTCCCTATCCACTCCCGAAACAGATCTCCTTCTCAACGCCCGAAATTTCTCGATTTTCTTCCTTTCAAAGGTTCACTTTTTTTTTTGTTCAGAATTCTCTTTTTTTTTTTCTTCTTTTTTATTTAAATTAAAATCGGACACGATCATTGTTCGATTCTGGATATGCCGTGGCCGTTTTTTTTCCTTAGTACTGGAAAGATCATGTGAGACTGTTATATGTAAAAGGAAAAAAAAAAAAAAACCGGTTCAGTTGGATTAAGTGAAACCCCGGGTTTACCGTACGGCAATGCCGGCTGCGGGGATGCGCCGCACAACGAGGGTGTTCGGCATGAAAGGGGCCGACTCAGCCCGAGTTTTGCGCTCCGGGCGGCGGCTGTGGCCGGATTCGGGTGAAATCAAGACGAAGCGATCCAACGATGGGGACGAGTGGGCGCCGCCGCCTAAGGCGGCGAGACTCGACGCCATGGCATCACCACGTGGCGGTGCGAAGGGGAGACGCGAAGAGGTTGTGGTTGATGTACCCATCAAGACCATTGATAGGAGATTTGGCATTGTGTATGTGAGGAGGCGGAAGGGGTTGAAAAAGGATGGTTCTAAAAGGAATGTGGATGTTTCGTTTTGCGTGTTTTCAGCTGTTGTGAGTCGTTGTGCAGGGAAGAGTGGTCGGTTTTTAAGGCTGTTGGCTTCGGTGGTGAGGTATGTCAAGAGGGTTCGGGTTTCGCCGAAGAAGCTTTCGGGGTTCTTTATGTCGCGGGCTATTAATGGTGTTTTTGCGTCCCAGGGGATGCAATTCGTGAAGGTAAAGTCTTTCCTCTATTTGTTTATGTGAATTAAACTATCAAATTAGTTAAACTATTGAAATTATTTTGGTTATCCTTCAAATTAGTATCTGAAATACGAATAATTTAGTCTCTCAGTATCACTAAAGAATATTAATCTAGTGATTAAATTGATGAGTATATCCTTCAGGGATTACTTATATATTTTAATTAGTTGTAGGACTATTTAGGGGAGAGGATGGATTTTAGGGCCTAAATTGATGATTTTTTGCTTTATTATTATTCGTTTTTATGTGTTGTGGATGGAACTGATTTAATGGGTTCGGTGGTGCAAATAAACTTTTTTTATTAAAAAGATAGTTGAATTAATGACCCTGAGTGCATTTTGGTAGGGTGTTTTGAAAGGGGAATGGAATGAAATAAATCACTGTTTACTTGTTGGTTTCCTGTTTTTATTTTGCTCAATGTAAAAATGTTTCTGTCTCTTTTATCATCTTTCAGGGTCCTCCTGCTGTAAACTCCGGAGTATGCAAGTTCTTCGGGTTGTCAGTGTTAGTGCCATTGTTTTTCGTGGACTTTGCCGCTGTTCCTCTTTGTTTTGAGTATCTACATTCTGCGATGTTCTTAAGATCTATTCGTAGGTCACTTTTGCTTGTATATAATCCAATAAATGTCCATTGTGATGTTGAGGAAATCGAGTCAGATGATGATTTGCTTGATTACCAGAATGAAAAGCAGATTTCTAGTAATACCTTCAAGAGGGATCCTTCTGAGACTGGAGCTGTTACATCTGATGTTATTGAAATCAATGATGTTTTATCCTTACATTCTCCTGTTCGGGTTACCACCAGGGCAGCTGGTCGGAATGGACAATATAGGAACATGTTGAATTCTAGAGGCATTCAGAAGAGGAGAAGTTCACTCAGGAAAAGGAAAGCTCGAAATCCTTCAATGATGAGTTTACGCAGAAATGGAGCAGTGGTTTCCGAGTTAACAGGTGGTAGGAAAAGTAATAGCCAGTTGTCTGGTGTGACCTCTAGCAAGAAACTTAGGAGTTTGGTGAACGGTAGCACCACTGAGAGCCTTGAAGACGCCAGTTCATCCTTAGTTGATTCGAAAGAAAGACTAGGTTTATCTTCATGTTCTGCAAACATACTGGTATCAGAGATACATCAATGCTACCGGGAGGAGGGAGCAATTGTTACTTTAGAGATGTCTGCTTCAAAAGAATGGCTTCTCACTGTAAAGAAAGATGGATTAACAAGAAGCACATTCAAAGCAGAAAAAGTGATGCGGCCCTGTTCATCCAATCGATTCTCTCATGCAATAATGTATTCTTTGGGCAATGGGTGGAAACTAGAGTTTACCAATCGCCAAGACTGGAATGTCTTCAAAGACCTCTATAAGAAGTGTTCGGATCACAATATCCCTTCTACTACTGCCAAATTTATCCCAGTTCCAGGTGTACGGGAGGTGTCTTCATATGCAGAAAGTAACAATTTTCCCTTTCATAGACCAGATACATACATATCTGTCTTTGGTGATGAGTTAACTAGAGCAATGACTAGGACAACTGCAAATTATGACATGGACTCTGAAGACGAGGAGTGGCTGAAAAAGTTCAACAGTGAATGTCAAAACCATGTGTCAGAAGATAATTTTGAGTTGATTATTGATGCTTTGGAGAAGGTTTATTATTGCAATCCAGATGATATGTTTGATGAAAAAACCGCAGTTAATGGTTGTCAGGACCTTGGTAGCAAGGAGGTGATAGAAGCTGTATATAACTATTGGGTGAGAAAACGGAAGCAAAAACGATCTTTGCTGCTTAGGGTTTTCCAGGTAAAATTTCAATCCTGATTTAGATTGTGTAATTTGTCTTGGAGAGTATGTTTATTGAGAACAATGTTCTTAAAACCGGTCCGGGTTTCAAGATTTAGAGGTTCAAATGGAGTTTAACAGGATCCCGTCGGATTTAATAAAATAATATTTTTATAATATAATAAATATATAACAAGTTTATTAGTAATAATGTTTTTTAAAAAAAGAAAGAAAAATAATAAAAATTATTATCATGGTTATTGGAAGTTACAATAAAAATTATAAATATAAAATATATTAGAGTTTGAAAGATGAATAATTCTTAAAATAAGATAAAAAAAAGTAAAATATATTATATTTCTTCTAAAAAAATTATATTAATTTTTTTTATCCTAAATATTTTGTTTTACTTTGATCCAAAAATTTAGCTTATTTTATCGGTTGTCTTGGTTTAATTCAAATTCGTTGTTTGGAAGCAACAGACCATCTTTTCTTTTAGTCTAGTTCCATATTGAGCCATCCGATTTTTAAAACAGCGATTGTTGTAAATTGCCAGTTATATGGTGTATGATAAATATTGTCTATGCACCGAAGCCTGTTTCCTTACTACTTAAAAGTTATGTTAATATGCCTAAAAGTAGTAATTGTCTATTAGATGAGAAAACAAGCATAAATTGTCCTTTGCCACTGATTCTCGAGGTAATTTTCCAAAAAAAATTTATTTTTTGTTTTTTTATATTGTTTTATGTGGGTGTTGGTGTTGTGGGGGCGGGTTGATTAAATTCTATGTTCCTAGTTAAATAATGTATTATATGTTTGCTTGGTACTTTGGTTGCGGTATAATGTCATGTTGGTCAGTGGCATTGTTGTAAATTTCAGCAGATCATTCCCATTTAGTTGCTTAGTTAATTTAGTTGTGTCAGGGTCATCAATCAAAGAGAGCTCCACTTATCCCTAAGCCCTTACTGCGAAAAAGGAGGTCGTTTAAGAGACAACCCAGTCAGTTTGGCAGAGGCAATCAACCAAGTGTGTTGAAAGGTAATTTATATGGTCTATTTCTTCGACAAAATGCAATGTGGATTTTTCCTGTTCAATGTTGTATTTGAATAAATTTTCCTCTAATCAGAGTATTAATTTCATGTAGTGGATTTTCCTGATCATTTCTGGTCTCGCTGTAATAAACTCTTGCCGTTCATCTTATGCAACAGAAATACTAGTGTTTGATCTGTTTGTCCAATGATTTTCTCTAGTGACTGATTATTTCAATCAAATGCTTTAGAACTTTTCCCTTACTCTTTACTTTAATTTTATGAAGCTTTTTTACTCGGCATATCTTGACTTTGCGGTTATGTTTTGCAAGAATGCAACTACTTGGATATTTATAAGAACTAAGCTGTGAATCTCTCTTTTTGCCCATCAAACTTATAGTCTCTGCCGTTGAGTCTACAGCGATTTGTGTTTGAATTCAATTATGGATCTGTTATAAGGCTACTAGCAGTATTGGTTGGGATATTGTTGATGGTAGAAGGATTAGTTTTGCATTCATCCTTTAAGTTTTTGTCTACTTGTGTATAGCCATGAATGTTGTGAATGCTCATCTTGTATTTCTTTTCAGCATTCGCAGCTGAGCAAGATGCCATGGAAGAAAATGCAATGCTGAGGATTGAAGAGGCCAAAGCCAATGCAAACATGTCCATGGAATTAGCCATACAAAAACGCAAAAGGGCTCAATCTCTTGCTCAGAATGCAGATCTGGCCACCTACAAGGCCACAATGTTAATTAGAATAGCCGAAGCAGCTCTTACTGCAGAATCAGTAGATGACGCAGCAGCATATTTTCTTGATTAATGGTTGGATCAATTCCATGCTAATTATCATCACACCACAAATTTTATTACAGGATGGGTCATAGTAGATTTGCTGCTGTTTTATTGTAAACACTGTACAGATTTTTGCATGTATGTATAACTTGGAGTTAAAAGAAAGACCTCACACCAATCTTTTGTATGAGTAGGTTGGTTGATCTCCATGGAAGGAAAACCAAACAATGGAAATGAAAATGAAATACAGGATATCTGAGCCTCATGACATGACATGATGATACCCTATGCCTCATTATTAATTATTATTCATGTTAATTTGGAGTCCCAAGATAAACAATAAAGGATGGTCGGCCGAAATGAGCCCAACCTTTTAAGGCCCACACAAGCTCAAAAGGCCTCCTTGACAGAATTGTCTTCCTAACAAAATAATGGACAAATCATTTTTCTTTCATCTCTGTAAAATTACTTCTGCTTCACTTTTTTTTTTTATAAGAGAGTCAAAGTATAATTAATTTGTGATTGTCGGCAAAAGAAAATAGAGGCGGAATATCGAAACTACAGTATCTACAGACCTGGTGAAGACCGGTGAACATTACTTTAATAATAATTAAAAAAAACTCGGTTAAACATTCAGTTAAGTAAACAGAAATAATATAACAATAATATTATTATTATTATGAAAAATTAGATATGTACTGACAAAACAAATAAACATTTTAACAACACAGAAAATAAATATAAATAAAATATTAATTTTTTTTATAAGTTTATGTATAAATTAATATGTACTTGGCTAAATTTAAGTCGTGTATAAATTAATTATAGCTTAAGAGAACATATGTACTTTACTTTTTATCCATGAAATTTTTTATTTACGGTAATTTTATGATACTTCGTATAAAAATTATAATATTATTATAAATTTCAACATTAAAAAAAATTATTGTAGTTTATTTAGACCTATATTAAAATGGTTAAAGATTTAACTTTTTCTTTTAATGCCTAACAGCAAAGAAATGAAAGATTATAATATTGGAAATTGAATTGGTGAAGATAGTTGACTTGTAGTTGCCTAACACAAAGGTAATTTGATTTGATCACGAGTTCAATAAAAAAGAGCAGACATGATCGAGGGTTCTAGCTTTTTCAAGCTTCATGCCTTCAACTCTTTCTCAATACGCTACCATTCATATTTTCATCTCAATTTTCATCAATCTCACAAATGTGTATATGTGTATCTCTATATAAGTAAAATAAATAAAAAGTTAGAGACTGATATTTTTTAATACAATAGTTAAAGTAAATTATTACTTTAAATTTTTAAATTATAAAAATAAATGATGAAGATAAAACTTAAATATGTAATTCTTATTTCTAGAGTAAGTAGATATTATATTTATTTATTTATTTACTTTAAAAATAAGAGTTAAAAGATTTTTTTATTGATAGTATTTATTTTTTTATTTAATGTTCTAAAATAATAATTTAGTTTAACAAAAAAAAAAATAGTTCTTACATATCATGATGAACTTTTAAATATAGATTAGATAATGATCTTGACACAAACAAATATCACAGAATTCAATAATAATTATGTTGAATATATTATTATATGTAAAAAATGGATGATTAATAATAAGTCACAACAAATACCTCACAAACCTAATCCACACGCTTCATCCTCTCTAAAATTATTTTAAAAAAAGAAATAGGATTACAAATTATACAAATAGAAGTCGTAGAAAAATGTGTTTAAAAAGGTTTTCATGTATACTATGTATAAAAGAAGAAATTTTAGTTATATCACACGAAATTATTTACAAAATAACTCATAATTTTCTTTCTTATGATGCATGCCAATGTGTTGAGTAATAATACAATTCTTGAACTAAAATGTAACGAAGGAATTCATACACGTAATTGTGAAACTTTTTTTTTTTCATCCTAATATTGACACAAACTATTTATTAAATAATTAGTTTTCTTTTTAATTTTATAATAATAATATATTTTTTTTAATTCTTAACGCTAATAATTTTAGTATATACTTATTATATTTAAAAAAATATTTGATATAATAATATTATTTTTTAAAATTCAATTACCTTGTTGATTTTTAAAAACTTGAATTTATCTTTTTACCGATTTAATATTCCATACGGTTTTAAAAACATTCCTGCGATTCATTACTATGATCCAAAATTGTGATACTAATTGCGTGGGGAAAGTCACACCACCGTACCATACGCCATAAAACATTGAATTATTAGGATTATATAATTAATTTCGTCTATTATTGAAAAAAAAACATTGAAGAAAAGTTACATAATTAATTTTAAAATAAATTGTGGTAAAGGTGATGAAGATATGCTACCGAATATTACACCATGGTATTTTTAAATGAACTTTTGATTCTTGTATTTATATTTAAAAAATTGATCAAATATTTAAAATTTTAAATTTGAAAATCTATTAGTTTAGTGATTTTATTAAAAATTTTATGATACAAATTCTTTATTAAATATTAGATTTAGATTTGAAAAGACCAAAATCATATAATATATGAATTTAATTTTTTTTCATATTTATATAATGAAAAAAATTAACATTTCATATTAAATTTAAATATAAAATATTTAAAACCATTTATTTATAAAATTTAAGAATTAAAATTTATTAATTTTCAAATACAAGGAGTAAAGGTTTGTAAAAAAATATAGGGATCAATAAAAAAAAATTTTCTATTTTTTTCATAAATATCATAGTTACATTGTAGAATATATATATATATATATATATATAATATTTTTTATTAAATATTTGTAATAAGTTGGTGACAATTTGTGTTTTAAATTAGAAAAAGAAAATCGTGCTAAGTATATATATGATTTTCTTGTTAAAACTTTATGAACCACATTTTTTTTACTGAGTTAACTCTTTTCCTTTTTAAAAGTGTGCGATTCTAAGGAGACTTCAATTTATTTTTATGTTATTATTGATTATAAAAGTATCCCTTTTTTATGTTGTTTATTTTAAAATTTATAAAGATAATAAGATAATAATAAAAGGATAATTTTTAACATTTTTATATTATTCCTTCACTTTTGATAGAAAATTCAACAACAATAGTTTGTCATTGATTTATTTTTTTTAAAATACTTTAAGAAATTAAAAACTTTAAAAATACCTTAATAAATTAAAAAGAGAGTACATAATTTCTAGGGCACGTCATTTGCTTAGTGTTTGTGGTCAAAACTTCAAAAGTCTTCGTTCTCTGAATCACAAGTTTCACGCCATCGAATCTCTTTTCTAAACCCAATCACGTCAAAAAATAAAAACATAATAAATAAAATTCAGCTGCAGCATGTGATCTTTAAAAGATTTATATATATATATATATATATATATATATATATATATATATATATATATATATATTAGTTTTAAAATTTAAGAAAATATCGAGTGCCTTTTCTTATTTCTATTTTTATCTGTACATTATTTTTTATTATATATATAAATATATTAATAAAATAAATAAGAAAAAAATATATAAAATTTAAGATTTTAACTGCAATTAAAATATTTCTTTGACAAGAACTATCATTAAAAATATTATTTTTAACAACGGTTAACAAAATATATAATTTATAATAATAATATATTTTTTTTATGATTCCGCGTTTTATTTTTGAAAATTATTTAAAAAGACGAAACTAACGATGCTATCCACTGTAATTGTGATGAAGATTCCAACGTTTTATTATATATTATCTTAATATAGATTCATAATATTTTTATAATATAAATGAAAAAAATTAAATAAAACCTACTTGAACTTGATAAAATGAAGTTTTAGCAATTTCGAAGATAATATTAAATAAATAATATAGATTAACGTTATGTGCTAAATTAATCAATGGTTTTAAAATGGTAAATTATCTTATATTAAGGAAAGATAATAGTTTTGTCACTAAATGAATTATTACAAGTAATTAATTTTTATTGAGAACCACTAAAAAGAGTAAAATCTTCCACTAGTCAAATTGCATATATACTCCCAAAATTTTCTAGTGTTTTGCACGGAAAATTTTCTTTTCCACTTAACATTGGATACGCATGCTTTCTAATTTAATTACATTTTTAATATATTAATTGTTAAAGTAAGACGTGATCGACTAAAATGTTTGTGCTTTTGGAAGCATGCATTCATTTCTTTAATTTAATGGTTTTTTGTGTGTATAATTTATATTTATTATTTTTTAATTATTGAAACCTCTTTTAATACAAAACAGTTAAAGAGTTATATTAAATGAACTTTGACGTTGAAACTATATCATTGAACTCACTTGATAATTATGTATTGATTTACAAAAATTAAATATTAGTTGTTTCTAAAAATTAATCAAAATTAATAATATATAATATGAATATCTTTAGTTTTTAAATACTCAAATAATAGACATGAAAATGGTGCGGGACGAGTTCTGTTTCTCCCTCAGTTTTTTTTTTAAGTTTCCATCTCCGATTAGAAATTTTTTATTCGATTTTCCTATCTTCCTAGTTTTATATTATTTTTAAAAAATAATTATTTATAATTTTACAATTTTTAATTATTATTATTAATTAAGTTTATATTTTAATTTATTATATTTATATTAAAATATATATGTAAAAATGTTTAATATTTTTTTTATAACGAAATAAAATATTTATATTATTATAGTAATAATAATAACACTATATTTAAATATTTAATTATATATAAGATAATTATTTTTTAAGTTTTTACTTTAAAATATTTAATAAATTAATTCTTATTTAGTTAAAAAGATAAATTTTTAATTATCAATCTTTTTAATCCTGTAAAATATAATTATTTTATTAAAATAAAATTTGATATATAATAAACAAGAGTAATAAAATCCAAACAATATACCATAATAAAATATAATAAGAATAAATTAGAAATAAAGTAATATTAAAATCCAAACAATATACCATAATAAAATATAATAAGAATAA